ACATAGGGAAGACCAGAGCCCAAGGGCCCGAGAGGGATCCCAACGCAGAGCCCCAAGGGGCACCCGCACCGGTAGATCTGCCCACCCACCTTCCAGATCAGACCATAGGGGAGAACTGGGAGAGCCCCCCAGCGACCACACGCAGTAAACCCACGGGGCCAGCAGCGACAAACTCATGGGCCCCACCGGCACCCGCCATACCAAAGCAGATCCAGCAAAGGGCACAGAGGTCCGGGCCCTCAGGGCCCCCCCTCCCCCAGGCCAAAGCCCGACAGGGKCAGAGGCCCCGAGCCCCAGCAGGCAGTCACCAGGCCAGGCCGGCACATGTGTAAAATCATTACTAAATCATTATCCTCTTCCTGCACTGCGAGAGCAGGCAGCCAGTCTCAGCAGCTCTAATTGTACTCTGTGATTTTTCTTGTTTTTACTTTATTAGGAGTGCTGTGTGTTTTTGTGTTTTTCTAATCTTTTGCACCAACTATGGAGCTGACTTTTCTATGGACARTTTTCTTTTTCTTTTCCTTTTATACGGCTTTTTCGTCCGGAGAAGGCAAAAGTGAGCATGCTCCCATTGTTTACTCCCACCACCAGTTGCTGGCACTAGTCAGCTCTGTGGTGTGTCCCCCTGCTGATCAACCCAATATCCCCTGTGAGCTGAGGAAGAAGCAACGAGGGAGACGTGCAGGTATCGGACGTCACAACCAGGGCAGAAGGTACAGACCTGTCATCCCGTCCATTATTAYAGGAAATGGGAGGTCTCTTCATAATAAATCTGACAAACTAGCGGCGCTAACGAGACATCAAGGGAGCTACCAGAGATCTGCCTGACAGAGACATGGCTAACAGCTTAACTCCAGATGCTCACATGAACTTGGACGGCTTTCATTTACTCCGTGTTGACAGAACGAAGGACAGCGGTAAGAAGAGAGAAGAGCATCTGGCTGTGTTTATGAATGATAGATGGTGTAACTCCATTTAACCATCAACGAATCACTCTGCTATAAGGACATTGAACTTTTAGCTGTTAGCATGAGGCCGTACCAGCTATCAAGGGAATTAAGGGCTGTATATGCCCCTACCCCCCACCCCCGCTAACACTGCTGCAGCCTGTGATGTGATCCATCCAGTCACCAGCAGACTCCAAACACAGCACCAACAGGCCCTCTTCCTGTTCTCTCGGGGGATTTTAATCATGTCTCCCTGTCCTCCACTCTCCCCACCTTCACCCAGTATGTCACCTGCCACACCAGAAACAACAAAACACTGGATCTACTTGTAGCCTTGTTAAAACCAGACCCTGTCCTTCATTTTGCTTCGTACAAGGGTCTGGACTTGATGCATAGAGAATCATTTCTTATAGGAGGCGTGGCCTCTGCTGAAGCATGTGTGTGTTGTTGGTGTGACGGAGGCTAAGCTAAGAAGCTAACAGGAAATCGTGTGTGCTGTAAACAACCCTACTGAGAGGAGAAAAAGTACCGAGACGACTGTAAATGAGAGCTGCTGTTTTGTCAGACAAATTTATTTTAATTTGGAAGCCTTATCAACACAGACTGGCTTCATTCCCTTCCTCCACTGCCGTATGCTAAAATAACTAGCAGACACTGCTCAGAACATCGACGTTATTCAATACTCCGCTTTCTGTTCAATGATGGGCTCAGGTAAAATAAACAACAAGCAGACACTGCGCAGAAAATTGACGTTCTGTTCTCTGATTGGCCCGGCTAAAAAATCTGCCAGAGAAATCCATCTCAATGGGAGAAGTCCCAGACGAAGCAGAGAAGGGAAACTAGAACTGAGCGGAGCTGCGTAGGAAGAAAAGGGCCAGGCTAGATCTACTATATGCCAACACAAAAAACGCATACGGGTCATCACCTCTCCCTCCCTTGGGGGGGTCAGACCACAACCTGGTTCAGCTCCAAAAAGATAAATTCAGTAGCACAATTTCCAAGTTGTTTGCAGTTGGTCCTCTACATCATGCCCGAATATTGACATTGTATATTAATATTTTTGTTACATTGTTGCTTCTTTTGTGTTATTTTGCACTAGTGACTTCATCATATTTGACTAACTGAATGCGAATTCACAAAATAATTTAAAGAACATGACAAGTATCTGTATCATAATTGGCAATATTAGCCCTGTATTTACTTGGTATCGAATAGATACCAAAATTCCTACTATCGCCCACCCCTAGCCGTCAAACTTCGGGTATGAGGGAAAATGCAGCCAGACTGCCGCTTCAGAGTTCATAATAAAGTATTGTGCTTTTATAAAGCACTCCATATGCAGATGGTAATTGTGACTTCATGATGCATTCAATTACACCTGGTAAGTACAAAGTACCATCATCAACACAGAAATGGCATGTAATTTGACAGTAGAGGCAGAGTTATCAAGTTTCACTGCAATCTTGTTCTTCAGCTTATAAAGAATAAATCTGTTTTTTCTGTGGCATTTGGGTGAAATGAATTTTTAAAGATCTTTATTGAGTCAGAGGTCTAATGAGGTTTTCAATGAAACTTTGAAACAACGAAGCTTTTTGTCTATGGTCTGTCTGAGGATGTCACAAAGTGTACTTCCTATTCCTGGTTAGGGTGAACATTTTCATATATGAATGGGTAAAATAGGACAATTTATGTGGAAGTAGTTTAATTGCAAAAAAAACCCTTTGGAAGCAACTATAAATGGGAAAGCAAAAGTGTTAATGCTGACTCAGCATTCCCAGTACTGTGAACTATTGTCTATTGTCACTGTTGTCACAATGATAAAGAAATTTGTTCTGAGTTCAGATTTTCTGTAAAAATAATTTTCATATCCTATTTAATGATATTGTGTTAATCCATTGACATGTAGAAAACACTGGATAGATGCACATTGGAATAAAAAAGATAAGCTTGTTATTGAATAATCCTTGCCCCTCACTTGAAGTAAACTTTGGTTTGCAGGCCAAGCCCAGCAGGCTCCACTGCTCCCACTGTGACGAGACCTACAGTCTTCCCCAGAATGGAGCCATCAAGCTGTTCAAAGAGCTCCGCTGTCCCCTGGATGACTTTGAGATTGTTCTGTGGACCTCCGGGGCCCGAGGCAAAAGTTATCCACTGTGTCCATATTGCTTCAGTCACCCGCCTTTCAGGGACATGAAGAAAGGTTTTCATATATTGCATGTTTCTCCTCTCTCATATATTTTGTTTTATATATTTTTTTACAATCATACCTAATTTAACCTGCAAGCTTTAAGCACTTGAGGTTATGAATGTGTTTGAAAAGGACTGAATAGATAAGGCTGAGTTGAATTCATAATCTTCATTACAGTAATTCATGTCTAAATTTATATGTAGTTTGTATTTTGAGATTTCATTTTTATAGTCTGGTGATTTCTTTAAAATAAGTCTAAAAACATGAGCCATTGGGAAGTTCATTGCTGAGGAAACAAGTATTCACTTTTTTTCTTTAGTGCTAAATTCATAAATACAAACAGGTTTAACACACAAACTTAGTTTAGCCTTTTATGACTTTCTGAGACATTTCAGCCTTTATTTTCTGCTAGACCTGGTCAGACGCACACCTATCTAGCCATCTTTAGACTTTGTTAAAGCCCTATCACATAATCTTTTAGACAAATTATGGAGCTTTTAAAGACATCTACAGTGAAGATGGAATTTTTAAAAAATCATCTGGAAGCCTTTTTTCTAGGTGTGTACATACTACAAATTGATAACTTATTAGTAATTTAGATATACTGTACAGTTCCCTCCAAAAGTATTGGAACTGCAGGTCAAATTCCCTTTGTTTTTGTTGTTCACTTAAGACATTTGGGTTTAAAATCAAAAGATGAGACMAGTTCTGAATGTCATCTTTTTTTCTGGTGTCATCACCACACAGTCCTGGCAGGAAACTGTTCCATCCACCTGCATGGAGGTCAGTTGCTAGATCTCCACTCCAGTAAATCCAGATATGGGGCTGTCTGCATCTGCTCTGTTGATCCCTTCAGAGCCTGCATGTCCCAGCTTCACTCCCACATCCTTTGCTCTCTTCTACTCTGCAAAACAGTAGTAAGAACTAAGGAGTTGACCAATTGACCCAAAATGGGCTGATGTGCCCAGGAGGAAAATAATTACACTGCTCAAAAAAATAAATTGGGAACACTTAAACAACGCACGCTAACTCCCGATCTTAATCAATGAAATATTCGCATTGAGTACTTTGTTCTGTACAGAGTTGAATGTGCTTCACAAAAGTTTGATTTACTTGGACTTAGCGTGCGTTGTTTAAGTGTTCCCTTTATTTTTTTGAGCAGTGTACTTTCCTTTAGTTGAACAATTGTGAGCAATGAATTAAAGACAACACCAAGCTGCAGGGTTGACCAGATTTGAAGGAGCCGAGCAGTGGGATGGATCCTCTCACTCTCTCCAGACACACACCTGATTTTGATTGTCCAGCTCAAGAAGGCAAAGGGAGTCCAGCAGTTCAGTTCAGGAAGAGGAAGCAGTTACCAACCAGCAGGTGATCATGATGAGTTGAGTAAAAGAAAAACATGCTCAATCCAAAGCACCAAATGTGAAAAACACCCAGAATACAAATAAGTAAAGGTGCTTTATTGGTCATCAGTGTATGTTTCCACACAATGACGAAATTTGTGCTCTGCATTTGACCCATCCACACCCAAGTGGAGCAGCGGGCAGCCATGTGAGGCACCCAAGGAGCAGTTAGGGTTAGGTGTCTTGCTCAAGGACACCACGACATGTGGGCATGGCGGGGAGTCGAACCTAAGACTTTCGGGTCCCAAGCCGGCTGCTCTACCACTACACCACAGCCGCCCCTAATACAATCCAAACACYACATACACAAAACCAAAAAGAAAAACATGCTCAGTCCAAATCATCATCAGATAAACACTGCAATGGTCTGTGACATAATACATCCGGTGATATATCCTAAGTTGTTTAACACATCTACATGTACCAGGAAACAAAAGCTGACATTCAGAACTCTTGTCTCGTGCTCATCATTTGATCTTAAACCAATTCACTAGCAAGCACCACACCATGAAATAAGTTTAGAGTTTATTAAAAGAAAGGGGTCGAAGGGATGACGGCGAGATGTCTGGGGAGGTGCCAGAGTGAGGCACAGACTTCAGGGAAAAATCCTTTCCCGAGCCTGCTTAGGACCCCCCCCCCCCCCCCCCCCCCCCCAGGTGAAAAGAAGGGATGCAGTGGTGAAAGGATGGAGGAGGGGAAATTGTGAGGGAGGTGGCGAGATGAGGGGATGAGAGCACATGGATGAGCCTAGGCGGGGCCAAAGGGGAAGGTGGGTGTCGACACTGCAAGACGAAGGTGAAACACCAGGTGAGAGGCTGGAAGAGGCGTGGTCCTGCTCCCCAACCAAGTTAACTTCATATGTCTTCAGTGAACAACAAAAACGAGACAATTTGACTTACTTTTGGAAGGGACTGTACAAAAGTCTCATAAGTTGTCTAAAATGTTCTAGTAGTGTGACAGGGCCTTAAAAAGAATTAAATGGTAAATGGACTGAACTTAGAGCTTTATCAAACCCATGGGGACCCCAAAATGCTTTACAGCAGGGGTTCTTAGCCTTTTTGACCTCGGGGCCCAATTTGTTCAACATAAAGTGACACGAGGCCCAGTCACACATTACCATATGGAAAGAAATAATAAATGCATTTAACCAAAGAGATTTAAAACCATAATAAATCAGGCTAAAAACTCTTGGAAACTATAAATCCACTTGTGGACATTACCTGTGCAAAGGTTCATGCTGCTAAAATGAACTGGAGCAAAGTTAGAGGTTTTAGTAAAGAAATAATTTAGTGTTTTGTCATTCTGCACAGGACAGACCATCATGGTACCATTAAGAAATGTTAAGAAATCTGAAGTTTTTATTTTCAAAAGTTATTTTTTTCTTACCTGCCTTAAAAGACTTGTTATTGAATGTTTGTTCTTTTGAAAAATTATCCAAACATTTATTTGTCACCATACATATTATACTGTGTAAAATAATGAGACATTATATTTAACTTCAATTGGACCATATTCCCTCAAAAAAAAGTAAAATCTTTCAACACACTTTATAGCCTATTTTTTCTATTTTGACTTGCATTATAAAAATAATGTAAAAAAATTCCTTTACAGATTTGCTTGAATGTTTTTACAGATTTGCAATGATGACATTTTGTACAGTTTGTTTACTTTCTGATTAAACTGCTCAACGTTTGAACTCTGTTTGGTGGATGTAACAATAGTTTCCATGAGGTTTTAGCCAAGATTCTTAGGTTTAATTTGATACCAAACATGTCCAGGTTCAATTGACAGATCTGAAGTTCAAAGAAATAGAAAACCATCCGGCTTTCTGAGGTCCCCTTAGCGCCCCCTGGCGGCCCCCACCTTGGGAAGTCCAGGCTTAGTTGGTAGAGCTGCTGCCTCTCAGCAAGAAGGTCACTGGATTGAATCCCAGCCTAGAGACCCCTCTGGGCAGAGTTTGCATGTTCTCTCTGGGCACTCTAGCTTCCTCCCACAGATCAAAAACATGAGTGTTAGGTTAGTGAAAGAGTGAATGTGGCCCTGTGATGGGTTTGTGACCTGCCCAGGGTGTACCCCACCCCTCGCACAGTGATTGATATGGGCACCTGTGACCCTAAAAGGAAGAAGCGGGTATAGATGATGGATGGATGCATTTATTAATTGTTTTTCAACTTGTCAAAAATAGTTACTTGTTTGAAAAGATAAACTAGTTGTCAAACATCAAAATGTCAAATTAAGACAGACATGGATTTAAAATTTCAGAGATGTGCATGTGATTGATTTAACTTTGATGTCTATTTCTTCCAGGTATGGGGTGTAATGAATGTACCCACCCATCCTGCCAGCATTCCCTCAACTCTTTGGGCATTGGACAGTGTGTGGAGTGTGACAGTGGAGTTTTGGTGCTTGATCCCACCTCTGGACCAAAGTGGAGGATGGCTTGTAATAAATGCAATGTAGTGGTGCATTTCTTTGAACATGCCCACAAAGTGCAAGTACGACTTTGTTCTACTGTCACAATATTGACATTTACAGAATTTGACCGAATTAAAATTGAGTCCTTCAATAAGACTCATGCTCAGAGGATCACCTGATTATCTGTCAGTTTGCTGCTCTGGAGCGTATGTGTTAAGGTAGAAAGGCATTAGTAGGAACTACCAACCTGAGAAGGGTTAATGGTCATTTTCAAACTATTTGGAGTCCATTGTATTTTATCTTATCTTAATGCACAATTGGTTGTGAATTCTTCTGGTTTTGCTTGATCCATGAACATGTTTCTAAGTTTGCTCTTTTTTCCTCTTAGGTTGCTCAGGAAAGCTGTGATGCATGCGATGCCTTCCTAGTAGCTGTAGACTTCAACAAAACCCGCACACCACTTCCTGACAATGAGACCCAACACACTGGCTGTGTTTTCTGTGATCCTGTCTTCCAGGATGTGGTGGAACTTAAACACGCCACCATGAGGCACTTCATGTATCGAGGTGGAGGTGCAAAACGAGGAGGACGAGGCCGAGGCAGGGGGCGTCGGGGCAATCCTAAAAAACCCAAAGATAAAATGGCTGCATTGGCTGCATATTTTGTATAGATTTAGTACTGGGTGTGACATTCTTTGCTTGGCAGATGATATTACAAACCATTTGTGAATAYATAAATTTCTGATTTTCCATTCGTTAGACCAAAATAAACATTCATTCAAACAGTTTTCAGTAAGCGTGGTTTTTCAGTATGACACAGTTCTGTAGATTTGTGCACCAAATATTTTAAGAGAAATTGAAAATGAGTGTATCTGCAGATAGTTTCTTGTTCTGCTACAGGATCAGAAAATGTGATGATGATGATGATGCCTTTGTCATTGTACAGAGCACAATGAAATTACAGTTAAGAACACCCGTTCAAAAAGACACACATGACAAAACATGGGGGAACAGGTGAACAGGTCGTGCGGCAACCAGGGTGGCACTACCTTTAACAGCTGGAAATACACAATAGGAGGGATGAATTAAAAAATTGCTCTGATCCTATGTTTACATCAGAAACATAGGATCGTATGCACAGAAAAGTGACTCGCTATAGAGCAAGACAGCCTGGGGCAGGGAGGAAGCTTAGGTCAGATAACATGAGACAGGGTGGGGTTCAGTGGAGTCGGTGACACTGAGGGTGGGTCTCCGTGCTAGAACCCGACCCTAGCACCCGCCAGAGTCCATGCTCGGCTCACCAGAGTTCAGAGTCGTCTCCTCTTTGGCCTTGGGATCACAGGACAGGGCCAACACGGGTGATGGGGGTGGGAGGGAATCAAGCCCTTGTTGACGTATCATCCTTTCGGAGTTTGAGATAAGCATGGCAGTCGAGTAGAGCTGGGCAATATGATCAAAATTTTATATCACGGTATTTTCAACATTTTCACCGGTTTCACGGTATTTGACGGTATTTTTCTTTTCATCACACCTCAGCTGATAATAAAACATACAAACCCTGCTTATTGACTTTTTTCTTTTCCTGTAGCTCTGTCTGTGTCTCTGTTTCCCTCCTCTCTGTCTGTTCTTCTCTGACTGGTGGTTGGAGACAGTAGTCATGCATTTTGGTCCAGTCATGAAGGAGAAGGGTTAAGAAAAGATTATGATCGGGTTTATTGTWTTGTTATTTATTAAAGCTTATCAGCACGACTCACCTTGCACACCAGTCAATTCCAACTCCACTACGAACTACTTCCTGCGGGCTTTTCACAATAAAACCACGTTAAGTCTCCATCAGCATAACGTCTCCATATTAACTAACCTCGTTAAATCTAACTGTGAACGTCACCGAAGAGGTGTTTACTACATTCAGCAACGGCGAAAACGGGATGATTTTTTTAAACGTCAGTCAGTATAAGCAGTGGATCTAACATTCAGTTAATCATTTATAAAATTTTCTTCAGTCAGATGAAACCAAAGTACAACTGTTTGGTAGAAACACAACTCGTGTTTGGAGGAGAGTGAATGCTGAGTTGCATCAAAAGAACACCATACCAACTGTGAAGCATGGGGGTGGCAACATCATGCTTTGGGGCTGTTTCTCTGCAAAGGGACCAGGAYGACTGGTCCGTGTACATGAAAGAATGAATGGGTTCATGTATKGYGAGATTTTGAGTGCAAACCTCCTTCCATCAGCAATCATTGAAAATGAAACGTGGCTGGGTCTTTCAGCATGACAATGATYCCAAGCACACCACCAGGGCAACGAAGGAGTGGCTTCGTAAGAAACATTTCAAAGTCCTGGGGTCAGATTTATAAAGAATTGCGTGGAAACCATACTAAAAGTGAACGTATGGCCAAAAGGTGAAAATGGCGTACACAAAAATATATTCAGATTTATTAAACTGTGCGTACGCATGTTTCTGTGCACCTTTCCTTTATTCATCCTAATGCACATGGAACTGAGCGCACCTGAGCACTTCTCTTGACACGCCTCCATTTAAATATGTTAAATTGATGTAAATGTGTCCAGCGTGTGAGGTTCTCCTCAGACTGTCCTCTGTGTGATCAGAAATTATTTTTATGCAGGAAAAGTATACATTAAATGGCGAATGAGTGAGAAAATTGTCTCAGAATACAAACTGGAGTCAACGTGAGCAACACCAGAAAACAGATCAAGACTGGAGACAGATAAATAAAGGTAAGTGTTTTTATTTTACAGGTACTGGTGGGGGAACTTGTTGTCATTTATCGCCCACCAGGCCCTTATTCTCAGTTTTTATCAGAGTTCTCAGATTTTCTGACTGATTTATTATTAAATACTGATAAAATTATAATAATGGGAGAGATTTTAACCTTCATGTTTATAGTGAAAGTGATAGCTTAAATATAGTTTTTAGTAGGGGAGACCGAGGACAGTTGCAACACTTTTTGCATTTGACTCTGCTACTCAGAGAAGGTTTGAACTAGACAAACCAAATTTTAATACAATAAACTTACATCTGTCTGTTAATGGTCAAAACCATTTATAGATGATTAAAACATGTACATTCTTCACAATTTGCATTTGAAAATGAAAAGTCAGCTGTTGCAACTGACCCCAGGGCCGGGGACAGTTGCAACATTGTTTGGGGGTGATTGCAGCATATTATTAATACAATATATTTCACTGTAAATAAAAGTTTTATTATTTTTATATTTATATTATTGCTAAATTTATAAAAAACTAAGTTATAATGATATTACAGTGTTATTTCTTTATTTTCTTTGATCAAATGATGAATATAGATTTGCCTCGATGAGTAGACCTTATATACAGATCTCAAAGACTCAAATTGATATAAAATACAGTTGACTTTTTGAGACAAGGATAATAGAACARTTTGTGAGGCAATTAACGTTTGTTTTGCCTATTGTCACTGTACGCCTACMTTATGCAAAATTTACATTGAAAGAAACTGGAGTTTTAAAACCATTGTTTGTTGAAAACAACAACTGCAGAAAATACATCTTAAACAGTCAAGTTTTAAACTATAAAATTATCATGAACACCCAATACCCTTTTAAGTGTAAACTCAATTTCAACATGTTGATCTCATCTGTATGTGCTCTGTTTTTATATGAATTTATCGTATGGGGATGGTTGTAACAACTGTTGCAACTGTCCCCCTTAATGTCAGCCATGATAAAACCTCATGTGTTAGCTAAATAAGCTGATCTGGATACATGTTAACTATATTAGTTAAAAGTCAACATATCACTTGTTTAAACCATATAAGTTTGAGCTGGATTCAAAAATTCAAAAATAAAGCTGGGCAAAAAAAAAATACTTTGGTATATCAAAAACAGTATTTTTTTTTTTCAAATAAATCCTGGAGCAGTTTTTGAATCTGCTTACTTTTTCTTTGCAAGGTGGGGCATCTAACTGAGCATGTACAGTGTGTCATCACTCTTAACTTGTTTGTATTTGGAGAAAAATGACATGTTGCAACTGTCCCTTGTTGCTACTGTCCCCGGTCTCCCCTAATCTAATTGAGTCAACTGGTTTTAATCAAAATGTCCACAGACCTCACTCCCTTCATCACACTCTTGATCTGGTTCTGACGTATGGTGTAGAGAGCAAGAACTTAATGATACATCCTCCTAATCCTGTTCTCTCTGACCAGTTTTTAATAACCTTTGAGTTTACATTAGCTGACTTTATAGCTACTGAGAGTAAATTTCATTATAGTAGATGTTTATCAGAGAACGCTGTAGCTAAATTTAAATAATCTCTTCCATCTTTATTTTCCTGTCTTACAGAATAATGTAACAGAGAACAGTAACTTAGATGGTCTTATTAATAATATTACATCTTTAATGCAAACCTCTCTTGATGAAATTGCTCCACTAAAATGAAAGTTATCGATTGGAGGAAGCCGACTCCTTTA